CATTTATTTTACTCTGGTAAAATATGTATAGCATAAAAATGGCCATTTTAACCATTTTTAAGTACATAATTAGGTACATCCACAGTGTTGTACAGCTATCACCACTATCTGTTTCCAGAACTTTTATCATCATCCCAAGCAGGAACTCTATACCTGTTAAAAAATAACTCTCCACTCCCCTCCCACCAGCTCTAGGCAACCACGACTCTCCTTTCTGTCTCTCTGAATTTGTCTCTTCTAGGAATCTCATAGACATGGAATCACACAGCATTTGTCCTTTTGTGTCCGACCTATTTCACTCAGCATGATGTGTTCAAGGTTTATCCATGTTTTTGCATGTAACAGAATTTTGTTCTTTGTAACAGCTGAATAATATTTCATTGTGTGTGTATGCCACATTTTGTTTATCCTTTCATCCACCTGAGTTGTTTTCACATTTTGGCTACTGTGAATAATGCTGCTGTGAACATCAATGTACAAGTATCTACATATCTGGGGGTTATTACCATTATTATTATTATCATCATTGCCATCCTAATGGATGTGAAGTGGTATCTCATTGTAGTACATCGTTTTACTGAAATGGGATTATGCCATATATTTTCTTCTGCATCAGGATTTTTAACCTCAATAATACTTTGGAGACAGCTGTCTATGAAAAGATGTTTTTGAGAACTTGGCTTGATTATAATTCTAAGCATTTCTTCACTAACTGTCTATTACTTCCCTCTCAGAATCAAACTCAATCAATGACACAACAGTCTTATGCTCAAAGAAAATATATGCAAAAAATATATATATGCAGCTTGATATTTAACTCAGGGGTTATGGTCCCTCTTTTTTTTTTTAAGATTTTATTTATTCATGAGAGACACAGAGGGAGAAGTAGGCTCCAAGCAGGGAGGCTCCCTGCATGGAGCCTGACATGATACTCGATCCTGGGTCTCCAGGATCACGCCCTGGGCTGAAGGCTGCACTAAATCGCTGAGCCACCTGGGCTGCCCAGCCCTTTTCAATCCATTGTCTCCCAACCAATTCACTTCTGAGTCATGCCTTTTGGGTCAGGTTGGTATAAATTCAGGGCTGGGAGTTTGGGAAGGATTGGGGATAAGAACATGAAGTGTGAGATAAAATTCGAAGGATCTCTGAGCCAAAAGGGACTTGCCAATTTGTCATCCAGCCTCTGCTTGCATTCCTCTAGTGACAGAGAACTCATCACTTTACCAAGACAGCTCATTAACTCATTTCATCCTTTGGTAGATCCACTGACTTTGAAAGTCCTTTTTTTTTTTTCTTATGTAGATATCCTTCTTATGGATATATGTGGATATCCACATATATGTGGATATCCTTCTTATGTAGATATAAACTCTATCTTCCTGAAGCTGCCAATTGTACCACCTTAACCTCTTCCTTGATCACCTGTAGAGATAAGGCAGCTGTCCCAGGTCCCATGAGTCTCCTGGTCTCTAGACCCTTCACCCTCCTGGTTGGGATTCCCCTTGCCCCTAATTGCACCCACCCTCTGAGGACACAGAACTCACCAAGCACACTCTCCTATCCACCTCCTTTTTTTTTTTTTTTTTTTAATTTATTTATGAGACACACAGAGGCAGAGACACAGGCAGAGGGAGAAGCAGGCTCCCTGTGAGGAGGCTGATGTGAGATTCGATCCCAGGACCCTGGGATCATACCCTGAACCGAAGGCAGACACTCAACCACTGAGCCATCCAGGTGCCCCTCATACCCACCTCCTAACAAGAAGCCTCCTTTACCTCCCAGGACGCCTTGCTCATACACACTAACCCCGAGTCTCACTGACCTGTTTCCTCGGGGAATGCAGGGGTTTCAAGGCTGCCTTGCCACAGTCTGGAAAGAAAAGCCACCTCACAGAGAGGTTAATAAACATAAAGCACTCATCACTCCCAAGAGAGGGTATGGGAAGAAGCAGAAATGGGCTTCAAAATGTCTGAGACACATTTATAGAGACTGAGTCGCAAATGGCTGCCATTTAGTGAGCCTTTTAAGCTATTGTGGTGCCAGGACACCTCCTGTCCTAGGATCTGTCTCCGGGTCACTTCAGTTCCTTGTCCTGACCTCTGGCAATGGGCTTCCTGATAACAGGGCCTGCTGGCTCGCAGGCAGCCATCTCACTGCTCAGCCAGACGCAGGGTTCTCGGGTTTTGAAATGGTGGGTCTCACTACAACTTACACTGGCTGTTTTTCTGTTTTTCTTTTCTGTCTTGATGAAAAATCCTTGATGCTTTTACAGTAGCAGGATTAACAGAAGTATAACTTAGGGGCACTGGGGTAGCTCAGCCTGTTAAGCATCTGCCTTCGGCTCAGGGTCCTGGGATCGAGCTTAGGCTCCCTGCTCAGCTGGGGGTTTGCTTCTCCCTCTTCCTCTGCTGCTCACCCTGCTTGTTCTCTCTCTCTCTCTCATAAATGAAATATTAAAAAAAAAAAAGAAAAGAAAAAGGAAGTGTAAGTTTCACAATCTCCAAAGTGGGTTTTCCATAATTTCGATAGTTCTCTTGGGCTGGTTTTAGCTTTACTTCAGGATCTGTTGGTGATGCTTTGGGAGGGATAAAACTGGAACACTGAGCAGGGTGGGGAGGAAGGGTTCCAAGCCTTCCCTGTCCACGATCTTCCCTGTCCAGAAACGGGCTTATGGATGGAACCCATCTTCTTGGTTCAAGAAGGAAGGGGGTGAATGAGAGGCATGGCGGGTCTGCTGCGTGCTGGGTCTAGCATCACAACCCTTAATAGTATCTTACATCTACTGAGCACTTAACCAGCGGGCACTGTGCTAACCCCTTCCTAGGTGTGGTCTCATTTCATCTTCACAGCAATCCTGGGAGGTAGATACTGTTTCTTGCTCCATTCTACAGAGGAGGAAAATGAAGTTTGCAGATGTTAAATAACTTCCTCAGACTCACCCCATCCCCCCCCCAGGAAGCAGCAGAGGTAGCACTGAGCATAATTAGAGTCTGACTCCAGAGCCTCTGCTTGACCCATCCCCCAGGACTGCAGGTGCCAGCCCACCTGACCCTCATGGCAACACTGCAAGGCTGGCTTTATTATCCCATTTCACAGAGGAGGAAAGTGAGGCTCAGAGCAACAGGTAAAAGCCCAGATCTCATTGCTAGGAATTGTCAAAGATGGGAACAGGGGCACAGGCCTCCTGACATCAAGCAAGATCTTTTTTTTTTTTTAAAGATTTTATTTATTTATTCATGAGAGACACGCAGAGAGAGGCAGAGACATAGGCAGAGGAAGAAGCAAGCTCCATGCAGGGAGCCCGATGGTGGACTTGATCCCGGAACCCCAGGACCACGCCTTGAGCTGGAAGCAGACACTCAACCGCTGAGCCACCCAGGCATCCCACATCAAGCGAATTCTTGATGGAGGAAGGAACAAGGCTGGCGTGAAGATTTTTCTACCAGATGAGGAGCCTCTTAAGGTCAGGGCTAGTGTCAGGTTCAGCACCCCACACCCCCTGGGACAGGGGCCGGGGGTCAGGTTCAGCTGCCCCACACAGAATGGCACAAGGCCATTTGCTGGAGGGAGTCCTGGCCTGAGGAAGGAGAAAGGATGGGGCAGTGGTACAGGCCAAGGGGCTGGGAGATTGAATGGGAATGTCAACAGGGGTAGCGGGGGTCCAGCCAGCCTGGCCAAGGAGGGGAAGCTCTGAGCGACAGAGGCAGAGATGAAGTGGCAATCCTTGATACAGGACTCGGCTGGCCACTGGCAGGAGGCCTCCATGGGCCTCAGAGAGGCTGCTCCCATGCTATGATAGTGGCCACCTCTCAAAAGACATCTTCTTAGCCATTCTTCAAGGGCATTGTGGGAGTCCTGGGAACACAAACCCTATCTGCGGGGGAGGGTCACACTCTCCTAGAAGTGCTAGACTTTGAACAACTAAACCAATAAATATATAAAATAAGCACCGTGAAACGCAACAAACAAGGGTAATGGTAGAAGGTAATGCAGTGACCAGGGAAAACCTCTCCCAGAGGTGACTTTTAAGCTGAGACCAGATGCTGGAGAAGGAGCCAGCTACCAGCTATGGGAAACTCTAGGGAGAGGGCACTTTTGGAGAGAGAACTGCAAGTGCAAAGGCCCTGAGGCATGAAAAATGCTAAGGAATCTATGGGAAGCATAATGAGAAAGGGGGCGTATGGCGGGAGATGGGCATTTCTCACCACCAGGACAGTGGGGAAAGAGAGCCCCAGCAGGGAGAGCCCGGATGCAAGCTCTTACACCAACATGGCCTCCTGGGTACCAGGATAGGCCCTCCCTGCGTGGGGCCCTGGACCTCCTTTGCACGGTGATGGGATTGGTCTCTCAGGGTCCCAGCTTTCTGGGGAGGGAATTTAATTCCTCATGGTCTCCTGTCTCCTGCCGTTCCCACCAGACCCGGGCCCTTAGGGGCCAGGACTAGTGTTTTCCCCACCGGGGGTTCCCAGAAAATCTCAGAACTCCCTCTCCAGTCCTGGGACACTAGGGTCGGGAAAGAGGAAGGAAATTCTCACACACAGCAAACTCCCAGGGAGTTTGTTCATGTTCCCAGGCTGACAACTGGCAACCCTCAGAACTCCTGCCCCTTCCTCCTCCTCCTCCTTCTCCTCCTCCTCCTCCTCTTCCCCCTCCCCCTCCTCCTCCTCCTCTCTCCCTGTCTCCCTCTCTCCCCCGGCCCCCCTTCTCTGGCTTAATGACTTCCACATGGGCCTCTGGCAGCTGGAGCCAAGCCTCCCAGCATTGTCTGAAATCTCCAAATTTAGAAGAAATATGAAAATTGTCAACCACTCCTTCCTTAGGGGGTAAAAGCAACATTCGGCACCGGGGGCAGGTCAAGGCGAGGCAGTCACGTGGCGGGCGCCCGGGCCAATGGGGGGCCCCGGGAGGACTCAGCACCCGCCTCACCCCAACACCGGGCTCGCCTCTTCAGCTCATATAAGGTAAAAGGCAGAGGGGCCTCTGTGGCCAAGGAGCAACAGGCAAGGGGCTAAGGGGAGGGGGGCCCAGTGCCAGCCGTTTAAAAATGCCCCGTGGCAGTGAGGGGTGCCAGAGGCCCGGTCAAGTTAGTTGAGAAGCAATGACACCCCCAACAATCCCCTAAATGAGCTGAGCCCTGTATCCAGGCTGCAAGGAGCCACACCTGGACCAGACCCCAGAAGAGGTAAGAACCAGTGGCAGATATGAGGTCTGTGAAGGGGGGTGGAGGGGTGCGCATCTGTGGCATCCTCCCCAGGGCGATGCTCTGTCCAGGAGTCTGGTCCTAGCTCTCTTGCTAACCTGCTCTGTGCTTCCACTCTTCTGGGCCTCGGTTTCCCCATTGGTACAGGGGCTGGACTGGATGATCTCTAAGTGCCCATCCTGCCCTGACCAGATGGGCAGGATCTATGGTTCTGTTGGCTTGGAGGACTCCTCGTGGCTGCGGTTACATGGCGGGTGGGAGCAGCAGGAGCGGTCAGGGTTACTGTCCTGCCGGCCCCAGCCCCGCTGCCATGCCCAAGTCTGGGCCCGTCTCCCTGGCTTCTCTGGAGACACTGCTTCTTCCTTGTTCTGTGAGGTTGGATTTCACAGCTCTAAGAGCCTGGGGCTCCTGGCAAGGAAAACTGTTTTCAAATAATGGTTTCAAGAAGCAAAGCTAGAGGCATAGTTATGTCGGCTCAGGCTCCAGCAGACGGGCAGAGAGGCGGGAAGGCCAGGGTGCTGGCCGGGGGAGGGGGATGTGGGCCCCAGCCCCAGCTCTGCCTCTCACTGCCTGGCCCTGTGGCCTTGGGCAGGCACCCTACTGTCTCTGGGCCATCTGTACCATGAAACCATTGGATGACATGGTCTCCATGCAGGATGTGGCTCCTTGAGCCCTGTTGGAGCCTAAAAGGCAGCCAGCATCGAGAAGTTTCCCCAGGAGCCCCTGAGCGGGGTCTGCCCTTTGACCATAGGCTCAGAGTCTAAACAGATGCCTCATGCCCATGGGAGCTCTCGTAGGCTGAGCCTCAAGTGACAGAAAAGAGTGGGTCTCTGACTACAGGCTTGGCCAGGGGAGGGTCAGCCCACAGCCCAGAGGCCTCAGGATGAGCCTGGCCCCAAAGCAGCCTCTGGTGTGGAAGGCGCTGGTCTCTGGATCAGGAGGCGCAGGGCCTCAGAGTGGGATGAGGATGGGATGGACAGCAGAGGCTTTCAGGAAGGGTGATGCGGTGTGGTGGGGCCTCGGAGGAAGGCAGGAGACGTGGGAGGCAGGGCTGTGTAGGGGCAGACCCTGGGATCAGCACCAGAGGGCATGCGGGCAGTATCGCTCTTGTGAATATGCTCTGGCCACATCTAGGGCCCAGAGTGGACACAGTCCCCCAGTGCCAGCCCACCCAACACCCTCACCTGCCCCCTCTGATCACATAAGGCCTGAGACCATAATGGTCCAAAAGGAGACGCTGAAATCCAACCGCTTGGGTCTAATTCTGGCTTGTTTACCTATCAGACAAGTCACCTGCCATCCCTGAGCCTCAGCTTCCTCCTCTATAAAATGGGTATGGTCGTGGTTCTAACGGCACTTGGTTTTCCTGAAGAGTGAGGGACATAGGCACACAAGAGCAGGGTACATGGTTCTGGTGTTACATTACCACCAGACCTTACTCCCCTTGAGGAGCAAGAGGACCTTACCTATGTTTAGAGAGAAGTGGGAAGGAGACCCAGACCGGGAGCGCTCAGAGTTGCTAAAGGGACAGCAGGGTCTGGAAAGAGGCAGGAGGCGTGAGTTCAAAGGTCAGAGGTTAAGAGGCCCAGAAGAGGGATCAGCTTGAGATGCCTAAAAGGCCAGGTGAGGTCTCCTTTCCTGCATTTATAGCACATGGGATGGGCAATGTGTCCCTAAGTGTGGTGTCTGAACCACTGTACACTCATCTACTGACAGGGAGCCCTGGATGGGGCCCCAGGAACCTGCATTTCAAGCTCCCAGGGAAATTCCCACACATGTGGAGTTCTGGAAACTGCTGAGCTGTCAGGCAGCCTGGGACCCTCGCAGACACAGCTGAAGCAACTAGATCCACAATGAGAGAGTGCTGCTCTGGGTCATACAGCTGATGACAAGGCTGGAGCAGAAGCAGCCACCCTGCCCAACCCTGGACTCCACGGTGGTGGTGCAGATACGAGAATTCTACTGTGATCGTTACTTTCTGGGCATTACCTAAGGCCTTTACGTGAATTAATTCACTTAATCATCACAACAACCCAATGAGGTAGATGTAATCACGATCCCCATTGTACAGATGAGAGAACTGAGGTATAGAGGTTAATTGGCTTGCCTAAGGTCACACGGCTCGTGAGCTCTTAGGTCTGGACACTGTCTGGTGCCAGTTGCCTCAGCCGCTGTCTGTCCGTGGCTCTCCCACCCCCTGCCCTGCCCCTCGGCCACTGCACCCTGGAACTTCCTGCAGACCCTCCAGTGTACCTCATGAACATACACGGAGGATTTCCTGGGAGCCAGGCACCACGCTGAATGGTTGGTGGCATCATTTGATCCTCCCAGGATTACCGAGAGGCAGGAATCAGCATTGTTCTCTTATCCCTAATTTATAGAGCAGGAAACCACTGGAGCTTACCCAAGGTCACACAATTAGAAAGTGGCAGAAGGGATTTAAACTCAGCCTGCAACTCCTAAACGCTTGCTCTTAGCCTGCCCACCCCGGCTCCTCCGAGAGCAGTGATGAGGAATGCCACTTCAGAAGAGGAGACCAGGCTCAGAACTTGCACCCAAGTGTTCTAGTTCATTTCAAAGCCATTGCTTTCCCTTCAGCCCCGCTGCTGCCCCAGGATGGAAAGACCTTGCTTGTCACTTGTCCCTAAGAGCCACACTGCCGCTCTTTGAGTAAAATCAGCCCTTACCAGACTGGCCAGTTGTTGGGAAGAGCTGATATGTATAGCCCTGAGGAATAGAAAGTTCCAGGTCCAGTGCCACCCTGGACCCTCGGGGCTGTACCTGATTCCCCTTGTGAGCCTCAAGGAGTTGGGGAGATAGTCTCTGAGGTTCTCACCACCCGGCTATGCCTGGGCTGTGCCTCAACTACAACTTTCCAAGTGAACCATCCCCAGGATTCAGGGCCATGAGGTGGTGCAAAGAACCATGATAAAAGGCTTTTCTAACTGCTTAGTTATTGTGACTGTCCACATCGCCTGATGCCTAGGAGCCAGAGTTTCTCCGGAATTTATACCTAGAGAGAAAGATTGCTGGGTCCTGGGGTGCATGCCTGTCAACTTTACAGGACAGAGCTGGTTTATTTTCCAAAGTGGCTGCACCAAGTCATCAGGTACATACGAGCATCCTCCTCCTTGACCACACTTAAAATTGCCAGATTTCTGGAAGTATATATATTATACACTTTATTTTGTATCTATCAGATTTGTATAATAAAGAATGAAAGGAGGGCACCTGGCTGGCTCAGTCAGTACATTATGCAACGCTTGAACTCAGGGTCATGAGTTCAAGCCCCATGGTGGGCCTAGAGTTTACTTTAAAAAAAAAAAAAAGGAAGGAAAAAAAGGAATGAAAGGAAGAAACAAAAACACTGCTCACTACAGTCCAACATGGGTATCTAGAAATGTGCCCTGCATGCACCAAGTGGCAGAGCGTCCAGAAAGTCTTGGGGCAGGAGCGGGCACTGCCCCTGTGGCCTTCCTCCAGCTGGCAGTGCGCAGGATGCTCCAAGCAGAGGCCGCCTGCCAGGTCATCGGCAGGAATTCGGGGGAAAGGGCCCACAGTGGCTGGCACCTCCCAACGGCCTGTCTAGACAGGCCCCACGGGGCTTCACCACGCATCGCAAGAGCCCACAGAGGTGGCCCCCTCCCCGCTTGCAAAAGAGGCTATTTGGCAGCCAAGCTTCTCCACCAGAAACTTTGTGTCCAGTTCAGAGCATGCCCTCATGCGGGGCACAAACCACCCATTCTCATGGCCCACGGAGACCAACTCATCCAGGCCCCTTATTGTTCAGATGAAGAAACAGGCCAACATCGGAGCCACGGGGCTTTCAGAGAGGGGGTGAAACTCTGTCCGAGTGAAGAGTGGCCAGAGGGGGGAGGCTAAGATGCAAAAGGCTGGTGGTTAAAGGTGCCAAGTGGCAGCCAGGCCCCCTGGGTTTGAATTCCAGATGTTCCTCGTAGCCACTGTGACTTGAGACATGTTAAAAATTCCCGTCTCGTCGGGGTATTGAGTGGGCTAAGACTCCCGAGGCCCTCAGAGCAGTGACTGTCACACAGGAAGTGCTTGATAACAACTAACTGCTAAAATGTGATGACAGTGGTGTCCCCACCCCCCGCCACGTCCACAGGGCACACGTCCCGAGCCCCCCAGTGGCCTCCTGAAACCACAGATAGCGCTGAGCCCTATGTGCACTGCTCCTCCCTATCCATGCATACGTACCGATGAAAAGATTTAATTTATACATTCGTCACAATAAGAGACGAACAGTACCTAATAATAAAATAGAACAATTATAACAATCCACCGTGATAAAACTTATGTGAGCGTGGTCTCTCTCTCTCTCAGAATATCCTACTGAGCTGCACTCGCCCTCCTTGTGATGCTGTGAGGTGAGAAAGTGCCTCTGTGAGGACCTGGCACTGTGACGTAGCCGTGGGCTACCGCTGGGTCACCTGCTTCTGGGTGGCAGGCAGTCGCCCACGAGTAGCTGAAACCACAGAGAAGTGAGGGGATTGTGTCCTAAACACAGCTTCTTCGGGAGGGAAGGAGGCACCGTAGTGGGCTCCAATTCTTCCCCCCACGGGGCTAAATGGCCTTTGTTCCTTCAAAAATAACAATTGCAAAAAATAAAATAAAATAAAATAAAATAAAATAAAATAAAATAAAATAAAATAAAATAAAATAAAATAAAATAAAATAAAATAAAATAAAATAAAATAAAATAAATAAAATAAAATAATAAAATAAAATAAAATAAAATAAAATAAAATAAATAACAATTGCAGGCGCGCCTGGGAGGCTCAATTGGTTAAACATCCACCTTCGGCTCAGGTTATGATCTTAGGGTCCTGGGATCCAGCGCACTGGGCCTCCTGCTCAGCAGGGAGTCTTCTTCTCCCCCCTCCCCTCTGTCTCTCTCTCCCCCTGCCTCTCTCCACCGCTCCTTCTCTCTCTCTCTCTCAAATAAATAAATAAAATCTTAA